AACCAAAACTTAATGTCACTAACAGAAACCTTCAATGTTCAATCACAATCCCATACCCACAGAATGGCTCAAAGATGGCCTACAATCTCATCTAGTGTGCATAAAATGCAAACAGTGCATCATACACAGGTACAAACCTAAACAAACCAATACAGAAAAAACACATTAAATAAGGTACCTGGAGCAAAAGCTCTATCACCACACTAAACAGATCATTGTATAAAGCTCAAATGGAATCAGCTTGCATCCATCATCATGGTACCTCCCCTGCTTGATAAGGCCCGATCACAACATAAGGTAAAAAAACAGGAACTGCATCAAAGTCCGGAAGGAAGTGTATCATCAGACACGTCTCTGAGCTACACTGTGCATTCTCCCACCAGAAGCAATTATAAGAGGTAGGGCAGGACAATAGAACATGCCAGGAAGGGCACAAGAAGGCACCATGGCAACAGTAACACACAAAGCTATATACCATATTGTATTTAAATGCCTGGATGTAAATGCCAAATGGATGTAAATGCATCTACACACGCTTTAAAGCAGGAGCATCTAAATGCAGAAAAAAGTCTGAGAAGCATAAATGTTATTTATACCTCCCAGATAACTTCTCCTATGTTGAGGCCTTGTTTACAAGGGGTTCACAAAGGTGTTCCATGAATCCCAGTGCAAGCAATCCCATTGCTATCAATAGGGATGTAGCGGTTGCATAAGCACACACTGTCTGCATTCAGGGCAGTGTACCTGCACAGATGTCAAATTGGGAGCAGAAACCATGTCAGTGCATCCACTGCATACCTATTGACATCAATGGGATTGCCTGCATGGGCATACATTGTAGTACACCCTGTGTGAATGAGACCTTAGCCTCTTTCACGTGTTGTGAGGATCGCATGTGCGCTGGCACAGCAGCCTATCCAATTTAAATGGGCTGACGTGCCTCACAAAACACAGGGAAAAGGTCACTGCATCTTTCCACAAATCGCAACCCACAGGGGAACTGCACTACAGTGCGGTTCCCAGTGTGGGTGCGACTTCTAGTGCTGGCAGCACTCCATTAGAATTATTGGCACCTACGCACTGGTCCCGCAATTTGTTACATAGTTAGTCTGGCTGAAAAAAGAAAAACGTACATCCAGTTCAAGTTAAATTTGCCTTCTCTTTGTCCCCAGTCACCCATTCTAGATGATTTTGTAAAGGCCCTACATGCTCGGACCTGACCTTGTTACTATTAACCACTTGCCAATCGTGCTATAGCCGAATAATGGCTACAGTGTGGTTGTCCAGTTCTGGGAGGGCGTCATAGGACGTCCTCTCAGAATGCGCTCTCCTGTGTGCCCCCAGCGGCGCTCACCCGGTGCTGTCCGTGATCACTGTGTCCTACAGACACAGCTGATCACATGATAAGGTAAAAGGCCAATCACAGCGGCCTTTTACCACGTGATCAGCTGTATCCAATGAGTAAATACAGTTGCTGGTTATCAGCTGCACTTTCTTCACGCTGTCACAGCATGATTAAAGTACTGCTGATAATTGGCAACTGTCACAGAGGACATCTGCACTGATCATCCGGGCACTGACTATCAGTGCCCTGATGATCAGTGCCCAGTAGTGCCGCCCAGCAGTGCCACCCACCAGTGCCCAGCAGTACCTCCCACCAGTGCCCAGCAGTGCCACCCATCAGTGCTGCCCAGCAGTTGCACACATCAGTGCCCAGCAGTGCCTCCAGTTAGTGTTGCCCATAAGTGTCACCCATCAGTGCAGCCTATCAGTGCCCATCATTGCTGCATATCAGTGCAGCATCATTAGTGCCTCCTCATCAATGCCCACCAGTGCTGCCTCATCAGTGCTGCCTATTAGTGTCCATCAGTGCTGCCTATCAGTGCAGCCTCATCAACGCACATCAGTTTAGGAGAAAAATTACCTGATTGCAAAATTTTATAATAGAAATAAAGAAAACCTTTTCTTTTTTCAAATTTGTTGCTCTTTTTTTGTTTATAGTGCAAAACAATAAAAAACAGCCAGTGGCAAATAAATACCACCAAAAGAAAGCTCTATTTGTGTGAAAAAAAATTATAAAAATTTCATATGGGTACAATATTGCATGACCATGCAATTGTCATTCAAAGTGTGAGAGCATTGAAAGTTGAAAATTGGCCTAGGCACAAAGGGATTAAAAGTGCTCAGTAGGCAAGTGGTTAATATATTTGAAGAATTTTGGGGGGTTTGTCCTGCTACCTTTTCAATCTGTAGTTCGTTTTCAATTTTGTGTGCGGGTGGTTGCAGCTGCAAGAAGTACGGCTCCCGCAGCAGCTTTTACCTGCACTAGTGTGAACCGAGCCTTAGAAAAGCTAAACATAAGAGTGTCAGTGTACAAGAGGCCTTAGAAACACCTGCTACGTGTTTGCATTAGAGGACTGGCAGGCTGTCAAATTCTGCTGTAACGGAAAGTAAAAGGAAAGAGCTGTTGTGAACTTTGAGGATTCATTTTTTTATTTAGAATATGGAAATACTTTAGTGTGCATAGTCTGGTCACAGGTGTGAATTAGATTTCTATATGATTTATCTAAACTTTGTAGACTCTAGCATGCTAGGTTACTTCTCTTACAATTCACCATATTTGCATCACTCAAACCTTGATAATGAGAGTGAGGAAACTTTATGTGTAAAATTTGTAACTATTAAAATTGCTATTACTGAAATGGTTGAATGATCTGTCAGTTCACCTACTAACGTTTCTGAAGTACCATAAAATATGCAAACTTTCAACAGTACTGTAAATACTTGAATTGCATAGAAGTGTTTTCAGTGCAACTAATGAATAGATAATAATACACATATATATACATACACACACACATAGTGCTCAGTACACCCTTTTTGAAAAGTAAGATGTTAATCAATATCTCAATGAACACAAAAACAATTTCCAAGATTTTTACAAAACTGAGTTTGATAGAACATTTGTTTAGCTCATTACATGAAAGTAAGGTTAATAATATAACTTAGATTACATCTTCAGTTTTACTCAAATTAGTTGATCCAAAAATGAATACACCCCACAACAAAAACTACTACATCTAGTATTTTGTATGACCTCCATGATTTGTAAGGACAGCATCAAGTCTTCTAAGCATGGAATGAACAAGTTGGCGACATATTGCAACATCTATCTGTTTCCATTCATCAAAAACGACCCCTTTTAAAGCCTGGATGCTGGATGGAAAGTGATGCTCAACCTGTCTCTTCAGAATTCCCCATAGGTGTTTGGTTGGGTTTAGATCAGGAGAATTACTTGGCCACTGAATCCCTTTCACCCTGTTCTTCTTCAGAAATGCAACAGTGACCTTGGATATGTGTTTTGGATCATTGTCATGTTGAAAAAATGTACGACGACCAAGGGCACGGAGTGATGGTAGCATCTTCTCTTTCAATATAGAGCAGCACATCTGTGAATTCATGATACCATCAATGTAATGCAGCTCTCTGACACCAACAGCACTTATGCAACCTCACAGAAGGACACTGCCACCACCATGTTTCACTGTAGGCATGGTGTGTTTTTCTTTGTACTCTCCACCTTTACGACACCATACAGTTTTGAAGCCATCAGTTCCAAAAACATTTATCTTGGTCTCATCACTCCAGAGTACAAAGTCCCAGTAGTCTTATTTTTCAGCATGGGCCTGGCAAATTCTAGGTGGGCTTTTTTGTGCATGGGCTTTAGGAGAGGCTTCCTTCATGGACGTCACCCATGCATGCTATTCCTCTGCAGTGTACGCTGTAATGTTTCATGGGAAACAATCACCCAAGTTTGGCTTTCTACTTCTTTAGCTAACTGCAGTGAACTCACATAGCGATTTTCTTCAACCTTTTTCATCAGAAGACACTCCTGTCGAGGTGTTAACTTCCATGGGGGCGGCCTGAACGTCTCTGTGAGATGGTTGCAGTTCCATGTTTGTTAAATTTTTGTATCAGTTTTGCTACAGTATTCTGACTAATAAGTAAAGCTTTGCTGATCTTCTTGTAGCCTTCATCTTTCTTGTGTAAAAAATGATTTTCTTTCTCAGGCCTTGTGACATTTCTCTTCCATGTGGTGTCATTGCTGACAGCATGAAAGAGGAAGGAGTTTTCTTTGTTAAATAATGCCCTTTTATAATCAACTGTCTGCTGGACACCTGTTTAATGAATAATTAGACTCATCTGTAGTTGGATTCTTGTTAATTAGGATTTTGTTGTGTAATAATATTTAGCTTTGCTCCTTTCAGTGGGGTGTATTCATTTTGGAAACATGGTCTTGAATGAATTTGTTAGGAAAAATACTTTTTTGCATGTGCAAATTAACAAATCTTGTTTGCAATCAATGGCCCGCATTTGTGGGAGTATTTTGTAGTATAGTGTCCCATAGAAAATGTTGATTTTGGGGAAGTAAAGGTTTCCTGATAAATCTGTTGGGGTGTACTCATTTATGCTGAGCTATATATATATATATATATATATATATATATATAAAAATATATATATACACACTATATTGCCAAAAGTATTGGAACGCCTGCCTTTACACGCACATGAACTTCAATGGCATCGCAGTCTTAGTCCTCAGGGTTTAATATTGAGTTGGCCCACCCTTTGTGCAGCTATAACAGCTTCAACTCTTATGTGAAGGTTGTCCACAAGGTCTAGGAGTGTATCTATGGGAATGTTTGACCATTCTTCCAGAAGTGCATTTGTGAGGTCAAGCACTGATGTCGGGCGAGAAGGCCTGGCTCGCAGTCTCTGCTCTAATTCATCTCAAAGGTGTTCTATTGGGTTGAGGTCAGGACTCTGTCCTGTTGGAACAGGACGGGGCCATCCCCAAACTGTTCTCACAAAGTTGGGAGCATGAAATTGTCCACAATATCTTGGTATGCTGACGCCTTAAGAGTTTCCTTCACTGGAACTAAGGCGCCAAGCCCAACCCCTGAAAAGCAACCCCACACCATAATCCCCCTCCACCAAACTTTACACTTGGCAATGTCTGTGAAGTACCGTTCCCTGGCAACCACCAAACCCAGACACGTCCATCGGATTGCTAGACAGAGAGAAGTGTGATTCGTCACTCCAGAGAACGCATCTCCATTACTCTATAGTCCAGTGGCGGCGCGCTTTATACCACTGCATCCGACGCTTTACATTGCACTTGGTGATGTAAGGCTTGGATGCAGCTACTCGGCCTTGGAAACCCATTCGATGAAGCTCTCTGTGCATTATTGTGCTAATCTGAAGGCCACATGATGTTTGGAGGTCTTTAGCTATTGACTCTGCAGACAGTTGGCGACTTCTCTGCACTGTGCGCTTCAGCATGCACAGAACCTGCTCTGTCATTTTACGTGGCTGAGTTGCTGTTATTCCCAGTTGCTTCCACTTTGTTATAATACCACTAACAATTGACCGTGGAATATTTAGTAGCAAGGAAATTTCATGGATGGACTTATTGCACAGGTAGCAACATATCATGGTACCCACGCTTGGATTCACTGAGCTCCTGAGAGTGACCCATTCTTTCACAAATGTTTGTAGAAGCAGTCTGCATGCCTAGGTGCATGGTTTTATACACCTGTGGCCATGGAGGTGATTGGAACACCTGAATCCAATGATTTGGAGGGGTGGCAATATAGTTTTTATATATATATATATATATGTGTATATATATATGTGTATATATATATATATATATACACAGTGAAGGAAATATGTATTTGATCCCCTGCTGATTTTGAATGTTTGCCCACTCACAAAGAAATGATCAGTCTACAAATCGAATGCTAGGTGTATTGTAACACTGAGAGACAGAATAGCAATAAAAAATTCAAAGGAAATGCATGTCTAACAAATTATGAACTGATTTGCATGTTCATAAGGGAAATAAGTATCACAAAACATGACTTAGTACTTGGTGGCAAATCCCTTGTTGGAAATCACAGAGGTCAGACGTTTCCTGCAGTTGGCCACCAGGCTTGCACACATCTCAGGAGGAATTTTGGCCCACTCCTCTAGGCAAATCCTCTCCAAGTCATTAAGGTTTGGTGGCTGACGTTTGGCAACTCGAACTTTCAGCTCCCTCCACAGATTTTCAATGGGATTAAGGTCTGGAGACTGGCTAGGCCACTCCAGGACCTTTAATGTGCTTCCTCTTGAGCCACTCTTTTGTTGCCTTAGCCATGTGTTTTGGGTCATTGTCATGCTGGAACACCCATCCACGACCCATTTTCAATGCCCTGGCTGAGGGAAGAAGGTTCTCACCCAAGATTTGATGGTACATTGCCCCATCCATGGTCCCTTTGATGCGGTGCAGTTGTCCTGTCCCCTTAGCAGAAAAACACCCCCAAAGCAGAATGTTTCCACCACCATGTTTGACAGTTTGGATGGTGTTCTTGGGGTCATAGGCAGCATTCCTCCTCCTCCAAACACGGTGAGTTGAGTTGATGCCAAAGAGCTCGATTTTGGTCTCATCTGACCACAACAATTTCAACCAGTCCTCCTCTGCATCATTCAGATATTCAGTGGCAAACTTCAGACAGGACTGGACATGTGCTTTTTTGAGCAGAGGGACCTTGCGGGCACTGCAGAATTTCAATCTTTGTCGGCGTAGTGTGTTACCAATTGTTTTCTTGATGACTGTGGTCCCAGCTGCTTGGAGATCATTGACAAGATCCTCCTGTAGTTCTGGAATGATTCCTCACTGTTCTCATGATCATTGACACTCCACGAGTTGAGATCTTGCATGGTGCACCAGACGTAGGGAAACTGACAGTTGTTTTGTGTTTGTTCCATTTGAGAATGATTGCACCAACTGTTGTCACCTTCTCACCAAGCTGCTTGGCGATAGTTTGGTAGCCCAGTCCAGCCTTGTGTAGGTCTACAATCTTGTCCCTGACATCCTTGGACAGCTCTTTGGTCTTTGCCATGGTGGAGAGCATGGAATCTGATTGTTTGATTGCTCCTGTGGACAGGTGTCTTTTATACAGGTAACATAATGAGATTAGCAGCACTCCCTTTAAGAGACTGCTTCTAATCTCAGCTTGTTACCTGTATTAAAGACACCTGGTAGCCAGAAATCCTGCTGAATGATAGGGGATCAAATACTTATTTCCCTCATGAACATGCAAATCAGTGCATCATTTGTTAGACATGCATTTCTTTAGAATTTTGTGTTGTAATTCTGTCTCTCAGTGTTACAATACACCTACCATTTGATTTTTAGACTGGTCATTTCTTTTTGAGTGGGCAAACATTCAAAATCAGCAGGGGATCAAATACTTATTTCCTTCACTGCATATAATAACACTTACAGACAATTAATTAATAATTAATAATATTTGTATCTACTTAAATTATGTTGTGCATCTTATATGAGATTTTGTATCACTCGATATGTGGCATATTATTTGTACTCTTTATGCTGAATGCAATATGGCACATATACAAACACAAATCATTTATATGCAATATTTTGGACTTGGCGTTTCCAGTTAAGGGATCTTTCCATATAGCGGTGAAAGGGAAAAATACATGAAACAACATTTTAAAATTCCCCTAGCTGCATGCAGCCATTAGCATACCTTATTTTATAAAATTGTTTTAGTAATAACTATAGAAGATTTAATTGAAGAACAACTATAAAGCAAACTACAAGATAATTAACAACAACAACAAGATGTGCAAGATACTTACAGTAACCAACCTATATTCATCTTCCAATAGTCTGCTGAAATCAAACTGAAAAGTTATGGGCTATACATTATCACTGCACATTGATCTGCCTCATTAAAAAACTCTACATGTTTTGTAACACAGAGCAGAAAAGACTGCATTGAATATTTTGGAACTTCAACATTTTTTGCTCACAAAATTTTGTACTTTAGATAGAGGTATGAAAGTTATCATTCTTGTTAAAAAGTTATTATATATGCATAATTTAATGAAAGTATACTTACAGTATGGAGTAATGTCTTCCTTTTGTCTTAGATATTTGTCCACTTTCGACTCACATCCAGGAAAAAAAGAATTCCATCCCATGAAAGTAGAGCAGTGCACTTGGTATTCCAAATTCAGACTGACTTCACTGTGCTTCTATTAATCACAGCGATTACACTGTGTGTGGCCATAAATGGTAAGGTATGAATCCCATGAATTTCCTTAAAGGTCTGTTTAAGATATCAAACAATTAAACTGCCATTAAAACCCTCATGAAAATAGATTCTTTTAAGTAGGCACAATTTCTACATGCATTAAAAAGCTAGAAGTGCAGTGATTTCTTTTAAGAAGGTCATACACTTCTTAACAACCTGCAAAAATGAAATGCTCTTTATATATTTTTCCTGGTGTGATGTATGGGGATTAAGCACAGATGCAGAGTATGTGCAAGAGTGCAGAGGAATCCGTAAGCAGGAAAGAAACTTTAGAGGTCTAAGCGTATGCCGTTATCAGCACAGGTGTTGATATAAGTAGTAAGGTCTGAAAGACCTTTAAGCAGTGTTGATTTCATTGGTAACTGAGATGCTAGCACTGTTAGAGTGTAAGTAGAACAATATACATATAGTCACCTTCCATGATTTATGTAGTTGTCAGCAAATCATATACATCTTTTTTCCAGTTATATTAGAACTAATAAAAACTGTTACTTTACAGTAACAATAAAAAGTTACCATTTCATAAACAAAAAAAATTATAATAATTTTACTGGATATGAAGTAAGATAAAACTAGGGAGGACATCTATGCATTTTCTTTGTACTTTGTTTTCCAAAACTCACTGGGCCTGATTTACTGAGCCCTGGTTCACACTATTGGGGCTGGTTGCAAGTGCAGGAATTGTATCTGTTCCCTCACCTGTACCCACCCACAGTGCTGCTTTTACGAGATGTGCAAGAATGCCATTTATTCTGAATGGCATCCTCACGCATCTCAGTGCACGGGTGCGGAAACCACAGGGAAACTGCATGGGTTTTTTTTAAAAAGGTGCATATACCTACAAGTTTCAACTAGTTCAAAAGTCAAAGCACTTAACCCCATTATTTGTTTCTCTTTTTGTAAACCCTAAAATTGAACTTCTCTTATTAGGTCATTTTTGGGCTGTTAAACATACCAATAAATGTGTTTTGTTATGTTTTGGATAAGTTTAACAAAATTCCTGTTGATACTGCCAGAAAGCTTCCTGTTCTGACTGCTATCAATTACATTGTTCTCAACTATTTCTGAAGGTTACAGATCCACATCCTTTTATATTATGAAGAATGGGAGAGAGTTTCATAGCCCTATCATGTTTTTGGGTAGGGTTTCATAGTCCAATCTTGTTTTTCTTTTCCTGATACAGAAGGGTGAGTGAGCATTGTCACCCTAGCAATAAAGAAAATAAAGAAAAAAGCTTGAAAAAAAAGGAATGTAGCCATAACATCTAATGATTGGTAAGCTGCAATATATTAATTATTTTTTGATTATTGTTAGGTTGAGATATGCTTTAAGGCCTCATTCACATGGTCATTCAGGGTCATACACTGCCCAGATCAGTGCATTCACACATGTCACACACAAGTAATTATATGCAAATATTATGATTATACAGGATTTATATAGCGCCAACAGTTTGCTTAGCGCTTTAAAATATAAAGAGAGACAATACAGCAACAATACAGTTCAATACAAGAGGGTAAGGAGGGTCCTGCTCCTGGGAGCTTATAATCTAATTGGGAGGGGCTGGTGGTACAAAAGGTAATAACTGCGGGGGATTGACTGATGGGAAAAATAGAAGATTTGGTTATTAACTGAAGGCAGGATAGGTTTCCCTGAAGAGATATATTTTCAGGGATAGCCTAAAAGTGGGCAGAGTAGGTGATAGTTGGACAGATTGGGGTAGAGAGTTCCAGAGTTGTTCCTGAGGATGGGGGAGGCTGTAGAGAAGTCCTGCGGACAAGCATGAGGAGGAGACAAGTGAGCTAGAGAGCAGGAGGTCTTGGGAGGATGTTTATAGACAAGATTGAGATGTAATTTGGGGCAGAGTTGTAAATGGCTTTACATGTTATTGTTAATGTTTTGAATTTTATTCATTGAGCAATGGGAAGCCAGTGGAGGGATTGACAGAGAGGGATGGCAGACATGGAACAGTTGGTAAGGTGGATGAGTCTGGCAGCAGCATTCATGATAGACTGAAGAGGGGAAATCCTGCGATTAGGTAGGCCAATGAGGAGGGAGTTACAATAATCAAGGTGAGAAATAATAAGGGAGTGAATAAGTTGCTTAGTTTCAATGGTTAAAAAGGGGCGTATTTTGGAGATGTTACAGAGGTGAAGTTTGGACAGTGATTGGATTTGGGCTGAAAGGACAGATCGGTGTCCAGGTTTACACCTAGTACCCTGGCATGATAGGAGGGACTGATGGTTGTATTATTGATCTTGATGGAGAAGTCAGGGGAGAGGGCACAGGCTGGAGGGAATATTAAGGGCTTGGTTTTATAAAGATTGAGTTTGAGGAAGTGTGACATCCATGCTGATATATCAATTAGTAAGTTAGTTATGCAAGCCAAGGAGGTGTGGATGGAGAATAGAAGGGGTCCAAGGACAGAACCTTGGGGGACCCCTACGGCAAGAAGTAGTGGAGAGGAGGAAACAGAATTATAGGTGACACTGAAGGAGCGCTGTGATAGGTAAGTGGAGAACCAGGAGAGAGCAGAGTCTCGCAGGCCAAGAGAGTGGAGTTTGTTGAGGAGAAGGGGATTGTCACCAGTATCAAATGCTACAGAGAAGTCAAGTAGTAAGAGTACGGAGTAGTGGCCATTGGTTTTAGCAGTTAGTAAATCATTAGTGAGTTTTATTAGGGCAGTTGCGGTGAAGTGCTGCTAGCGAAAGCAAGACTATAAAGGGACAGATGACTGGCCCTGTACGCAGACAGTTTGCATGCAAAGCCACTCATATGTCCCTAACCTCAGGTAAGCACTCCATGTGCCATTACATGTAAAGAGCTATGGACTTTGTCAACCTGGTTGAGGTATACAGTATATTCTACCAGATACCATCAATAAAGATGTACTGCAGACTGTGTATAAAACGATTTGTGTGCAAGTGGACAAACATCATGATGAGGTTTGTATTGTGGCTAGGGATTATCAACATGTTCATATCCCTAACAGAGATGAAAATACCCTCATGTGTACACTCATGTCCCTGGAGATTTTAAAACAGATCTGTATCCACAATTCAGAGCATAGAATCATATTTAAATTTTTCTGGTGCCATCATATGCACAGTCTATCAGCAGGACTAAGCTATCATTAAAATGGTGACATTTTGGGCAGATGAAGCCATAGCAGCTTTACAGGATTGCTTGAGATACACTGACTGGAATATGTTCAGGGATGCTGCCACTTTGAGGAGTCAAGTTAATCTTCAGGAGTACGCATCAGTGATTACTGCATCCATTAGTAAATGTGCCTAGGATGTATCCACTACATAGGGAGTTAGGATGGTGAGGGTTCTGTTAAAAGAAAAAAACACAGCCTTTAAATCAGGGAATAGGGAAGCTTGGTATAGCTAAAACAAGGTTAAAAAGTGGTATTAGGGAGGCAAAGCAGAAATACCAACTGTGAATAGAAAGGGGTCTTAATCAAATAATTCAAAGAAGATGTAGCAAGGTATACAGGCAAGGCTTAAAGGAAAATAATTCTGTTGAACAGTGTGTAGCCTCTCTCCCAGATGATTTAACCACTTCCTGTCCGGACACTTTTACCCCCTTCCTGTCCAGTGAAAACACAGTGTTTCACTGTGTCGGAGGGAGGACACATCGGGCACCGGATCGCGGTGCTGCACGCTCCCAGGGAGCGCGCACAGCTAAAAAGGCCGTTTATGAATGGCAACCCGCCCCTGGAGTGCCACCGTCCTGCCGTTTATAAACAGCAGGGGGACGGCAAGTGGTTAACTCTTACAGCTGCTTTGACCATATAAAGTAGATAAAGATGTGGCAGTCAAGTTGCCACCATGTCTGGGAGAGGTGTTTTTGTAGTATCCATCTGGGACTTGAGGCAGATTCTGTGAGGAAAGTAGCAGGGTCTGATAATACCCTTAGATGGATTTTGAAGGGTTGTGTTGTTCAATTAATTTTCAACTGAGATAGAGATATAAAAAATTTCACTCCAGTAGCAAGCTGTTCCTACACGTTTACGATATCAAAAATGGTCTCTGTGTCTAAAACATGTATTGTTTTTTAATTTGATCAATGGTGCTTTGAAAAACAGATCTTGCAGTATATGAAAGAAACTATATTAGTGGGGTTGGACCCCTTTCAGCTTGCATTTCGGCTGAATAGATCAACTAAGAATGTAATCGCCATAATTAGAGATGAGCGAAGTATTCAAAAATTCGATTCGACTGATTCGGCGAATTCGTGGACAATATTCGATTTGAGTCGAATATATTCGCTGTGAATTTAACTTAAAAAAGGGTGTTTCTAGGCTTCAGAGAGACTTAATATTAGTGCAGAACACTGTACCTTTAATTTAAATGCCCTTGGAGTCTGCTGGGGAAGAGAAATAATACTGTCAGTCAGTATGACATGCAGATGAGTGCCGTCGATCTTAGAATCACCGCACACTTCACTCATTTAGCCAGTCACGGGGGCCAAAACCAGTGTTTGGAGCCACAGTGTGGCGGTGGAAGCAGCAGCAATGGGAGGCCATACAGCAACCTATGACAAAATGGAAACCAGCAGGAGTGTGAGGAGACCTCAAAGTGGCACATGGCAGAGTGGGAGCAATGGGAGGCGGTACAGGAACCCATGTCACACTGTGGACCCAGCAGCAGCGTGACCAGGCGGTACGGGGGCCCATGGCAGATTTGGGGCCTGGCAGCACCTATGGGAGGCCTGTAATCTGCCAGCAACCTATGACAAAATGGAAACCAGCAGGAGTGTGAGGAGACCTGAAAGTGGCACATGGCAGAGTGGGAGCAATGGGAGGCGGTACAGGGACCCATGTCACACTGTGGACCCAGCAGCAGCGTGACCAGGTGGTACGGGGGCCCATGGCAGATTACAGGCCTGGCAGCAGCAATGGGAGGCCCGTAATCTGCCAGCACCCTATGACAAAAAATGGAAACACCAGCAGTGTGTGAGGAGACCTGAAAGTGGCACATGGCAGAGTGTGGCGATGGAGACAGCAGCAATGGGAGGCCGTACAGGGACCCATGAGAGACTGTGGACCTGGCAGCAGCATGAGGAGGCGGTATAGGGACCCATGGCAGATTAGGGGCCTGGCAGCAGCTATGGGAGGCCCGTAATCTGCCAGCACCCTATGACAAAAAATTGAACACACCAGCAGTGTGTGAGGAGACCTGAAAGTGGCACATGGCAGAGTGTGGCGATGGAGACAGCAGCAATGGAGGCCGTACAGGGACCCATGAGAGACTCTGGACCTGGCAGCAGCATGAGGAGGCGGTATATAGGGGCCCATGGCAGATTAGGGGCCTGGCAGCAGCTATAGGAGGCCCGTAATCTGCCAGCACCCTATGTCAAAAAATTCAACACACCAGCAGTGTGAGGAGACCTGAAAGTGGCACATGGCAGAGTGTGGCGATGGAGACAGCAGCAATGGGAGGCCGTACAGGGACCCATGACAGACTCTGGACTTGGCAGCAGCATGAGGAGGCGGTATAGGGGCCCATGGCAGATTAGGCTGGCAGCAGCTATGGGAGGCCCGTAATCTGCCAGCACCCTATGTCAAAAAATTCAACACACCAGCAGTGTGAGGAGACCTGAAAGTGGCACATGGCAGAGTGTGGCGATGGAGACAGCAGCAATGGGAGGCCGTACAGGGACCCATGACAGACTCTGGACTTGGCAGCAGCATGAGGAGGCGGTATAGGGGCCCATGGCAGATTAGGGGCCTGGCAGCAGCTATGGGGCCCGTAATCTGCCAGCACCCTATGTCAAAAAATTGAACACACCAGCAGTGTGTGGAGACCTGAAAGTGGCACATGGCAGAGTGTGGCGATGGAGACAGCAGCAATGGGAGGCCGTACAGGGACCCGTGACAGACTCTGGACTTGGCAGCAGCATGAGGAGGCGGTATATAGGGGCCCATGGCAGATTAGGGGCCTGGCAGCAGCTATGGGAGGCCCGTAATCTGCCAGCACCCTATGACAAAAAATGGAACACACCAGCAGTGTGAGGAGACCTGAAAGTGGCACATGTTTGGGGCATGATTTCATGGCGGATTTAGTCAGTTGTGTCAGGAATTGGTGGTTTGAAATCCAGACTAATCCACGCCTGATTCATTTTCACAAACGTGAGTCTCTCCACACTTTGGGTGGAAAGTCGTGTCCTCCGCGGAGTTGCAATACCTCCTGCCGCAAAAACACGCGCTCCGATGCCACGCTACTGGCCGGGCATGACAGCCTTTCAAGGGCAAATTCAGCTAGTTGGGGCTAAAGGTCAAGTTTCGTTGCCCAGTAGTCAAGGGGATTGTCTACCTCGGTTTGGCAGGGTGCTGTCCAAGTAGGCCTAAGCCTGTTGTTTGAGGTCGTGCTCCAGGTCCACCTGATGCTGCTGCTGCTGCTGCTGCTGCGGCTGGTTATTAGTTTCCTCACTGCGCTGGTGAAGAAAGCTACTCATCATCGACTGCAGACTGAGGCAGCTGCTGCTGGTGGAGCTGCCACTGCTCCTACCACCCCACCCCTCCCCTGCTGCCATGGCAGCGTAACGCGAGCGCACAGGGCCCACAGTATCTGAGGATGGACGTTGGCGCAGACAGGCAGAGACCAGCTGACTACATAGGTGGTTTTTTATAGTACGTTATTTTGGCCTCCCTCTCAGCAGGTGTGAAAAAGGCCACCATTTTGGAACGGTAGCGAGGGTCCAACAAGGTGGACAGCCAAAAGTCATCCCTCTGTCTGATGGTTATTATTCGGCTGTCGGTACGCAAGCAAGCGAGCATGCTATGGGCCATTTGTGCCAAGGAATGCGAGGGACTCCCTGCCTCCATCTCCACAGCATACTGCCACGGTGCGTCTGGGTCCTCTGTCTCCTCTTCCTCCTCCTCTACCAGATGCTCCTGCTCCTCCACTCCTGTCCGCTGAGTGGAAAAACCACCCATTTCACTCATAATTCCTGAGCACCAATGTCCTCCTCTACCTCCTCCTCTTCTTCCTGTCCTGCCCCCACAGGGGTCATGTGGCGTTGAGATCTGTGCGCCACGTCTACCGCACCCTGACCAGCCATTATTAACAGCATTTGTTCCAGGACGTGCAACAGAGGAATGACGTCGTTCATCCCATAGTCCTGCCGACTCACGAATAGCGTGGCCTCCTCAAAGGGCCTGAGCAAGCGCAGGTGTCACGCATGAGCTGCCAATGGCTGACATCTAAGTTACACAGGGAGTACCTTTATCCGCTTTTAACATCAGGAAATCTGTGATGGCCTTTTGCTGTTCGTAAAGGCGGTCTAACATATGTAGGGTTGAATTCCACCTTGTTGCAACGTCACAGCATGAGGAGTCGGTACGGGGGCCCATGGCAGATTAGGGGGCTGGCAGCAGCAATGGGAGGCCCGTAATCTGCCAGCACCCTATGTCAAAAAATTCAACACACACCAGCAGTGTGAGGAGACCTGAAAGTGGCACATGGCAGAGTGTGGCGATGGAGACAGCAGCAATGGGAGGCCGTACAGGGACCCATGAGAGACTCTGGACCTGGCAGCAGCATGAGGAGCGGTATATATAGGGGCCCATGGCAGATTAGGGGCCTGGCAGCAGCTATGGGAGGCCCGTAATCTGCCAGCACCCTATATGTCAAAAAATTCAACACACACCAGCAGTGTGAGGAGACCTGAAAGTGGCACATGGCATGAGTGTGGGCGATGGAGCAGCAGCAATGGGAGGCCGTACAGGGACCCATGAGAGACTCTGGACCTGGCAGCAGCATGAGGAGGGGGTATAGGGGCCCATGGCAGATTAGGGGCCTGGCAGCAGCTATAGGAGGCCCGTAATCTGCCAGCACCCTATGTCAAAAAATTCAACACACCAGCAGTGTGAGGAGACCTGAAAGTGGCACATGGCAGAGTGTGGCGATGGAGACAGCAGCAATGGGAGGCCGTACAGGGACCCATGAGAGACTCTGGACTTGGCAGCAGCAGCATGAGGAGGCGGTATATAGGGGCCCATGGCAGATTAGGGGCCTGGCAGCAGCTATGGGAGGCCCGTAATCTGCCAGCACCCTATGTCAAAAAATTCAACACACCAGCAGTGTGTGAGGAGACCTGAAAGTGGCACATGGCAGAGTGTGGCGATGGAGACAGCAGCAATGGGAGGCCGTACAGGGACCCATGAGAGACTCTGGACCTGGCAGCAGCATGAGGAGGCGGTATAGGGGCCCATGGCAGATTAGGGGCCTGGCAGCAGCTATGGGAGGCCCGTAATCTGCCAGCACCCTATGTCAAAAAATTCAACACACCAGCAGTGTGAGGAGACCTGAAAGTGGCACATGGCGATGGAGACAGCAGTGGACCTGGGCAGCACTCTGGACCTGGCAGCAGCATGAGGGTATATAGGGGCCCATGGCAGATTAGGGGCCTGGCAGCAGCTATGGGAGGCCCGTAATCTGCCAGCACCCTATGTCAAAAAATTCAACACACCAGTGTGTGAGGAGACCTGAAAGTGGCACATGGCAGAGTGTGGCGATGGAGACAGCAGCAATGGGAGGCCGTACAGGGACCCATGACAGACTCTGGACCTGGCAGCAGCATGAGGAGGCGGTATAGGGGCCCATGGCAGATTAGGGGCCTGGCAGCAGCTATAGGAGGCCCGTAATCTGCCAGCACCCTATGTCAAAAAATTCAACACACCAGCAGTGTGAGGAGACCTGAAAGTGGCACATGGCAGAGTGTGGCGATGGAGACAGCAGCAATGGGGGAGGCCGTACAGGGACCCATGAGAGACTCTGGACCTGGCAGCAGCATGAGGAGGCGGTATATAGGGGCCCATGGCAGATTAGGGGCCTGGCAGCAGCTATGGGAGGCCCGTAATCTGCCAGCACCCTATGTCAAAAAATTCAACACACCAGCAGTGTGTGAGGAGACCTGAAAGTGGCACATGGCAGTGTGGCATGGAGACAGCAGCAATGGGAGGCCTACAGGGTGAGAGACTCTGTGGGACTGGCACAGCAGCAATGGGAGGCCGTACAGGGACCCATGAGAGACTCTGGCAGCAGCATGAGGAGGCGGTATAGGGGCCCATGGCAGATTAGGGGCCTGGCAGCAGCTATAGGAGGCCCGTAATCTGCCAGCACCCTATGTCAAAAAATTCAACACACCAGCAGTGTGAGGAGACCTGAAAGTGGCACATGGCAGAGTGTGGCGATGGAGACAGCAGCAATGGGAGGCCGTACAGGGACCCATGAGAGACTCTGGACTTGGCAGCAGCATGAGGAGGCGGTATATAGGGGCCCATGGCAGATTAGGGGCCTGGCAGCAGCTATGGGAGGCCCGTAATCTGCCAGCACCCTATGTCAAAAAATTCAACACACCAGCAGTGTGAGGAGACCTGAAAGTGGCACATGGCAGAGTGTGGCGATGGAGACAGCAGCAATGGGAGGCCGTACAGGGACCCATGAGAGACTCTGGACCTGGCAGCAGCATGAGGAGGCGGTATATAGGGGCCCATGGCAGATTAGGGGCCTGGCAGCAGCAGTATGGGAGGCCCGTAATCTGCCAGCACCCTATGTCAAAAAAAAAATTCAACACACCAGCAGTGTGAGGAGACCTGAAAGTGGCACATGGCAGAGTGTGGCATGGAGACAGCAGCAATGGGAGGCCGTACAGGGACCCATGACAGAGACTCTGGACCTGGCAGCAGCATGAGGAGGCGGTATAGGGGCCCATGGCAGATTAGGGGCCTGGCAGCAGCTATAGGAGGCCCGTAATCTGCCAGCACCCTATGTCAAAAAATTCAACACACCAGCAGTGTGAGGAGACCTGAAAGTGGCACATGGCAGAGTGTGGCGATGGAGACAGCAGCAATGGGAGGCCGTACAGGGACCCATGAGAGACTCTGGACCTGGCAGCAGCATGAGGAGGCGGTATAGGGGCCCATGGCAGATTAGGGGCCTGGCAGCAGCTATGGGAGGCCCGTAATCTGCCAGCACCCTATGTCAAAAAATTCAACACACCAGCAGCAGTGTGAGGAGACCTGAAAGTGGCACATGTTTGGGGCATGATTCATGGCGGATTTAGTCAGTTGTGTCAGGAACTGGTGGTTTGAAATCCAGACTAATCCACGCCTGATTCATTTTCACAAACGTGAGTCTCTCCACACTTGGGTGGACAGTCGTGTCCTCCGCGGAGTTACAATACAATACCTCCTGCCGCACTAAACACGCGCTCCGATGCCACGCTACTGGCCGGGCATGACAGCCTTTCAAGGGCAAATTCAGCTAGTTGGGGCCAAAGGTCAAGTTTCGTTGCCCAGTAGTCAAGGGGATTGTCTACCTCGGTTGGCAGGGTGCTGTCCAAGTAGGCCCAAGCCTGTTGTTTGAGGTCCTGCTCCAGGTCCACCTGATGCTGCTGCTGCTGCTGCTGCGGCTGGTTAGTAGTTTTTCCTCACTGCGCTGGTGAAGAAAGCTACTCATCATCGACTGCAGACTGAGGCAGCCGCTGCTGGTGGAGCTGCCACTGCTCCTACCACCCCACCCCTCCCCTGCTGCCATGGCAGCGGAACGCGAGCGCACAGGGCCCACAGTGTCTGAGGATGGACGTTGGCGCACAAAGGCAGAGACCAACTGACTACATAGGTGGTTTTTTTATAGTACGTTATTTTGGCCTCCCTCTCAGCAGGTGTGAAAAAGGCCACCATTTTTTGAACGGTAGCGAGGGTCCAACAAGGTGGACAGCCAAAAGTCATCCCTCTGTCTGATGGTTATTATTCGGCTGTCGCTACGCAAGCAACCGAGCATGCTATGGGCCATTTGTGCCAAGGAATGCGAGGGACTCCCTGCCTCCATCTCCACAGCATACTGCCACGGTGCGTCTGGGTCCTCTGTCTCCTCCTCCTCCTCCTCTCTACCAGATGCTCCTGCTCCTCCACTCCTGTCCGCTGAGTGGAAAAACCACCCATTTCACTCAATAATTCCTGAGCACAAATGTCCTCCTCTACCTCCTCCTCTTCTTCCTGTCCTGCCCCCACAGGGGTCATGTGGCGTTGAGATCTGTGCGCCACCACGTCTACCGCACCCTGACCAGCCATTGTTAACAGCATTTGTTCCAGGACGTGCAACAGAGGAATGACGTCGTTCATCCCATAGTCCTGCCGACTCACGAATAGCGTGGCCTCCTCAAAGGGCCTGAGCAAGCGGCAGGTGTCACGCATGAGCTGCCAATGGCTGACATCAAAGTTACACAGGGGAGTACCTTTATCCGCTTGTAACATCAGGAAATCGGTGATGGCCTTTCGCTGTTCGTAAAGGCGGTCTAACATGTGTAGGGTTGAATTCCACCTTGTTGCAACGTCGCAGATCAGGCGATGCTGTGGAATTCCGTTCTGCCGCTGCAGCTCAAGGAGGGTGTGCTTTGCGGTGTAGGAATGGCTGAAATGCATGCAAAGTTTACGTGACATTTTAAGGATGTCTTGCAGTGGGATGGTGGATTTTAGGAACCGCTTGACAACCAGATTGAACACGTGAGCCATGCATGGCGCATGGCACAACCTTCCTTGACGCAGAGCAGACACCATGTTTCTTTCCGTTGTCGGTCAACATGGTTCCGATTTTCAGTTTGCGCGGAGACAGCCATCTGTCGATTTCTCTGTTCATTACACTCAGAAGTTCCTCCCCTGTGTGACTACGTTCGCCAAGGCATACCAGGTGCAGCACAGCGTGACACCGTTGCGCCCTGCACATGTGATATGCCGGTCGGGTAATGGGACTTGGCACGGGGGTGGCGGCTGCGGCTGAGGACACGGCGGAAGAAGAGGTGGTAGAGGCGGACATCTTTTGTGGACCAAGGACGTGCAAACGTGGAGGCAAAAGCGGCGTGACCTGTCCAAGTTGCTGGTGCGGCTGTGACGGCACCACGTTCACCCAGTGGGCCGTAAATGACATGTACTGTCCCTGACCGTAGTTACAGCTCCACACGTCGGCGGCGCTGCCGTGCACTTTGGCAGAGACCGACATGCTCAAAGACTGGCCCACCATCTCTTCTACATGTGAATGCAGGGCTGGCACTGCCTTTTTGGCGAAGAAATGACGGCTTGGCACTCTCCCACCGCGGCGCGGCACAAGCCATCATTTCTCGGAAAGGTGCTGAGTCCACCACTTGGAAAGGGAGGGACTGCAGCACCAGCAACTTGGACAGGAGGACGTTCAGCTTTTGCACCGTCGGGTGCGTGCTCGCAAACTGTTGTCTCTTGGAAACGGATTCCAAGAAAGACTGCTGACGGAATCCGTGAAGAGGAGTAGCAGGAGAAGGAGCATCTGAACGAGCGGAAGATGCCAACGAGCGACAACTCCCCTCAGCAGAGGTGTTGGAGCCTTGACTGGCTGATGGAGGGCGCGATTGACGTCGGGTGACGGAGCAAGTAACGGAGCGGGTGATGGAGCGGGGGCTGGGGCGGGCAGAACCGCCGTATCTTTATCACGGTTTTCCCAGGGGCCACCAAATGGCGACGCTGCATATGCTGCCGCAACGCTGTAGTCCCAACATGGGCCCCCTGGCCACGCTTGACTTTCTGGCCACATAGTCGACATACGGCTACGTTTACTTCCTCGGGCGGCTTGACGAAAAATTGCCACACCGCCGAGTAGGAAACTTTGCCCCCGATACTCCTCACTGGCTGACTGCTGCTGACTTCCTCCGTGCACACCGGCACCACCACTACTGGCCGTGGTGGTAGGCTGCAGTGGAGCTGGTGCTCTACTACTCCGTGGCCGTTTGGCTCCACTGACACTGCTGCGACCCTGCTGCCTCCTGGGCAACCCACCGACTGTTTTCGCTCGCTGCCAAGCTGCCACCCCTCTTCTCCTGATGATGCGGAAGAAATTGCCTGATGACGACGAGGCTGCCAAGTGCGATCAACCTCCTCATCATCAAGTAGGGTCTCCGCCTCACTACTAGCCCCCTCGGCTGCGTGTGGGTCAGGAGACAGACCTGTCTCTAGACCGGCTACCGAGCCACTCTCCTCGCCAGTACTTCTTTCGCCTGGCTGCTGAAAAGGCGGATGTCTCCCCCCGTTCCTGACCGCCCTCTGTTAGCTCTTCCTCACTGTACAGTGGGGCTGAGCCCCACAGCATGCGATACTTCGCTTGGTGAGGGAACACCAAAGGACAGGGGCAGGTAGAGGACACGTGATTTCAGTGGGCTTGGTCCCGGGCCATGCCAACTAACGGTTGTGTCTGACGTACCCACCGACCGTTGGCTGTAGGTGTCAGAGGTGACCTGGGAAGAGGAAGACGACCGAGCCAACCAATCGATGACGGCAGGGTTGTCGGTGGAGACACGACCGCTGGATGACACCGGGAGCACTGGCCTCTGGCTGCGAATAGTGCTGCCTCGACCCCTTCCTCTGCTGCCCACGTCTGCTCGCTCCTAAAACATTGCCTCCTCTGCCACTCCTCTGCATGTTGTCTGACATACTCTTTAATTCAACGATTCTGTGTCCCTGAGTAACAATTCTGTGTCCCTGAGTAACAATTCTGTGTCTGTCCCTGAGTAACAATTCTGTGGCCCTAAGTAACGGTTTCTGTGGCCCTCAGTAACAATTCTGTGTCCCTGAGTAACAATTCTGTGGCCCTAAGTAACAATTCTGTGTCCCTCAGTAACAATTTCTGTGTGTCCCTGAGTAACAATTCTGTGTCCCTGAGTAACAATTCTGTGGCCCTAAGTAACGTTTCTGTGGCCCTCAGTAACAATTCTGTGTCCCTGAGTAACAATTCTGTGTCTGTCCCTGAGTAACAATTCTGTGGCCCTAAGTAACGGTTCTGTGCCCTCAGTAACAATTCTGTGTCCCTGAGTAACGTTTCTGTGGCCCTAAGTAACGGTTCTGTGGCCCTCAGTAACAATTCTGTGTGTCCCTGAGTAACAATTCTGGTGTCTGTCCCTGAGTAACAATTCTGTGGCCCTAAGTAACAATTCTGTGTCCCTGAGTAACAATTCTGTCTGTTCTGTCCCTCAGTAACAATTCTGTGTCCCTGAGTAACAATTCTGTGGCCCTAAGTAACATGGTTCTGTGGCCCTCAGTAACAATTCTGTGTCCCTGAGTAACAATTCTGTGGTCCCTGAGTAACAATTCTGTGGCCCTAAGTAACAATTCTGTGCCCTCAGTAATTCTGTGTCTTCAGTAACAATTCTGTCCCCTCAGTAACAATTCTGTGGCCCTAAGTAACAATTCTGTGGCCCTCAGTAACTGTGGCCCTCAGTAACAATTCTGTGTCCCTGAGTAACAATTCTGTGTGTCCCTGAGTAACAATTCTGTGGCCCTAAGTAAAAATTCTGTGGCCCTCAGTAACAATTCTGTGTCCCTGAGTAACAATTCTGTGTCTGTCCCTGAGTAACAATTCTGTGGCCCTCAGTAAGTAAATTCTGTGGCCCTCAGTAACAATTCTGTGGCCCTCAGTAACAATTCTGTGCCCCCAGTAACAATTCTGTGGCCCTAGTAACAATTCTGTGGCCCTCAGTAACAATTCTGTGGTCCCTGAGTAACAATTCTGTGTCCCTAAGTAACAATTCTGTGGCCCTAAGTAACAATTCTGTGTCCCTCAGTAACAATTCTGTGGCCCTGAGTAACAATTCTGTGCCCTAAGTAACAATTCTGTGGCCCTCAGTAACAATTCTGTGTCCCTGAGTAACAATTCTGTGGCCCTAAGTAACGGTTCTGTGGCCCTCAGTAACAATTCTGTGTCCCTCAGTAACAATTCTGTGTGGTCCCTAAGTAACAATTCTGTGGCCCTAAGTAACAATTCTGTGGTCCCTCAGTAACAATTCTGTGTGTCCCTAAGTAACAATTGTGGCCCTAACGTTTCTGTGGCCCTCAGTAACAATTCTGTGTCCCTCAGTAACAATTCTGTGCCCTAAGTAACAGTTCTGTGGCCCTCAGTAACAATT